AGTTCTTCTGTCCACCAATATGTTTCCTTTTTCTTGGTCCTTTTGGTTATGGTTGCTTGCTTTGCTGCAGAGTGTATTGCATTGGTTATGTAATTGGCATATTCGTCCAATTCCTCCTGGGTGTTGACGGAGGAAAAGTTGTAATTTCTCCACCGCTGCCCAAAAAGTTCCCTAAACAACTCCCAGTTGGTCCGATTGACCTGTTGACTTTTTAAGTGGAGGGGGGTGAAGATATCAGAGATATGAGTTACTATGTACCTGTGATCGCTGGCCGATGGGACCAGCATGGTTTCACAGTTCGTGATGCGATGGCTGAGTTCGTTTGACACTAAGCACACGTCAGTCCAACCTTCCGCGTGCGGAGTATGAAATGTCGGGTGGGTGGTCATGTTCGTAGAAATTAGGTCGTGTGAGTTCATTAGGTCGGCAACCAGCCTTCCCCTCTTATCCTCCCGAGTATGAAACCAGATCGGCGATTTGGCATTGAGATCGCCAGAGATTATGATTTGGTTGCTGTTAATTTTCTGAATAGCGTTTGTCAACTCATTTATGCATTCTTCGTCTTCATCGTCTGGAGGGAAGTAGGCACATATAATATAAATCGGCGTGGGTTGTTGCATGACGGCTGCACAGATCCTATTTGAGCACAGTTGTGGGATGAGGGCAATGTCCAGGTCAGGGTTGCACACAATAATTCCACATTTAGGTCTGGAATTGGTATGGCCCATGAGTACCCGCCAGTTGCTGAACCGAACTATCTTGTTGCCGATTGTGTAAGGCTCCTGGATTGTTATAATGTCACTCTCAGTGTCACTTGCTGTCTTGATGAGAAGTGAGCAGGCTGCCTTACTTTTTTGGGCATTTAACTGTAGGAGCTTAATTGTGGTCATTGAGTGGCTTTGGTTGTTTCTGGTAGCATTCCTGGCCTGTTGGCCATCGGTGTTAGTATCCTGAGTTGTATTTGCTGGTTGACTACAGGCCATAGTTGGTTCGATTTATGATCTGTTGTTTCATTTTCTGTAGAATGGGGCAGTTCTTGCTGAATGCGTTATGATGAACGAAATATTTTTTGCCCTCTGGAAGGCTTTCATTTGCTTGCTTACAGTTTATACAAGTGGCAGTTTTGTGCCGGTGGTCACATTCTTTGTACGGGTGCCTTTTGGTGCAGTGGCTGCATCTACGGTCGGTGGGGCATTCCCTTGCGAAATGATAGAATCCGCAGCATTGGTAGCAACGGACTACAGGGATAAAGTCGTCAACGTATATTGTTGACCAGGACATAGAAATATGACGGTGTTGAATTAGGGTGTTCCTTATTTTGGGAGTTACCGATAGGACTACGTTTCTACAGTTTTGTTTAATTTTGCCATGATTGAGAATGGTGCTTATTTTGCAGGATGAGATCACTTCCTCTGGTTTAATGTATCCCCAAATCTTGTTCTGTTCTGTCATGACTTTAATTATGTCTTCTTCCTCGATGTATTTTGGGACATTGAGGAGGATGACCCTGGGTCTTCTCCCCTCCGATAATTTGCATTGGATTGTGCTTTGAAGTTCTGGTATTGCATCTATAGCCTCCTTGAGTTTTTTCCCATCTTGTTCATTTCCGACACGGACACACACTCCATTTGCCTTGACTTTGCGTATTGCTTTGACCTTTATTTGTAGATGTTCAGGTCGGACTTCCTCGATAATTTTTGTTGTTACCTCATCCATGTTTGGTCCTTCGTCTCCAGTTACCTTGGGGTACAGGAGGACAGCGTGTGTGCCACCAGCCCCCTCAGATTGTACTTTAGTGCGGAGAGAGGCAGTTATTGTTTTAGTAGCCCTACTAGGTCGCGTGTCTAAGTTTTCACTAACAGCCTTGGCGTAGGATTTCCCGGTTACAGCTGGTGTTTGATCTGACATTACAACACGGTTGGCTCTTATCTCACGTAGAATACCAAACAATTGGCTAACGCAGCAGTGCAGCTGCATCGCCCGTTCCTTAACTTCTTTTCGTTCTTCTGTGTTTAAGTATGATCGATCTTTTGCTGGAAGAAGGTCCATGACACGTTTGAGATGTTGACCTGCCTCACAGAGGATAGTATCCTCCAGAGAGCGGGCGACTCCTATTGGGACGTCCAAGGTATCCAGCTCTTGGGTAGGTTCGGCTGACCCCATTACGAAATGCCTTCTAAGGCACGCGAAGCCGAAAAGAACAAAGAACTAAGCGTTGGCTGGCCCAGCTAAACGGCTGGACGCTGATAAGTTTTTTAGAAATAGGTCCTTTCCAAACTGCTTTGCCGAAGGTTCTGTACACTCAGTAGTGTTCAAATCAGAATCCGTTACAAAAGTACTCGGAAAACAAACCAGAGCCCGCCACACGTAAAACGCCGGACCGGCTAGGACTCGCCGAGTGGCTAGACCTACCACGTGGCTAGACCTACCACGTGGCGAAGAAACAATCCTTTGTCTAACGGTAAATCTTGGTTCGTGAATAACTCGGCGAATAAATTACCTACAATAACCAAATTTCTACAGCGTATAGATGGGCCGGTGACAAACAAATTTCGTTGGGAATATGAGCGGATCGCCAACGGGAGGCCCGATGCGGGCCGACAAAAGGTTAGTATTTCGGACAGCCGTAACTCGAAAACTAAATGATCGATTTGAATAAAACCATTACTCACAGTTAGCGTACTAAATGTCGAATCCACCGATATATAGTTATCCAAAGTCTAACGAAAATGCACAGTGAGATCACTATCGAAATCGGAGCCGATCTTAACACGTACTGTCCTCCTTCGCACTGTATACCAAGACTCCTTCTGTTATATATATAACAGCCGAGAAAATAAAAATAATTTAATTGTAAGTACGGTGGTGGTGATCCTCTTAATGGCACTCACACCTGGAAAATGAACGAGGAGGTCGATAGTAAAAGTCACTTCTAGAATGAAGACAGATCGAAGACGCGTTTCATTACGATCACCCCGAATGGGTGTCTGATCACTTTACCATTTTCTGGGCACAAAAGTTCACAGATGAAATTTTCAGTTAGAATGTTCTCATTAAATTTACACTGAAGAGCAATTGAATTAGGGATAGCTGGCGTTATGCAAATTTTGAGTTGTGCGTAAGCATGAAAGTGATTTGCAGATGAGGTAAGCAGCAGTTTGACAAGATAAGGAGTGCTGCTAACGGTATCAGTAATAGTTAGAAGCAAAATGAGTAAGAGTAAAGATCTAAATGCATTTGATTGTGGACAAATTGTTGGGACCTGACAAATGGGTCACTCCATTTTGGAAGTAGTGGAAACACTGGGTTTTTCACACACCACTGTGTCGAGGGTATACCATGAGTACGTCAATTCCGGTAAAACCATCACTGCCAGGGTCAACTGCTGTGGACAACAGTGTGTGGATGAGCGAGGTCGTCAGTGGCTAGCCCATGTTGTAACAATGGATAGACAGGCCATAGTGCAACAGATCACCCGTCAATTTAACACTGGTGCACAGCAAGGTGTAAGCTGCCACTCCATACAAAACTGTCTCCTCTCAATGGGGTACAGGAGTCATTGTCTTATGAGTGTCCCCCTGCTCACTGCACAAAACAGGGTGCAACAATTAGCATGGGCATGGGAACATGCCAATGGACTGTCGAGATGTGGAAAAATGTTGCCTGGAGCGATGAGTCAAGATTCACTTTGGTACATGCCGATAGCAGAGTATGTGTACGCCATAAGCCACATGAAGTGATGGATCCTTCTTGCCATCAGAGGACTCTTCAAGCTAGTGGAGGTGGCATTCTTGTGTGGAGACTATTCACATAAACTGAAATGGGACTCCTGGTACGTCTGACAGTGTCACTGACAGGTGAATGTTACCGGGATATCCTTGATGACCATCTGTTCCTGTTTGTTCGTTCTTGACAGCCCACTACAGAGATTGTCTTTCAACAAGACAATGCACCGTGCCATTGCTCCCGAATTGTATCGGAATGTTGGATAAACATTCCACAGACCTGCACATGCTTTCCTGGCCATCATGGTCACCTGACCTCAATCCAATCAAGCAGATCTTGGATGCAATTGAGAAAGATGTTCGAGGCTCCGACCACCTTCCATTTTATCTTCGTGATTTGTGGGAAATTATTCAGGACTTGTGGATACATATGGCTTCCCATTGCTTCCAGTGTCTTGTGGAGTCCATGCCAAGACAAATCGCAGCTGTCATCAAGGCAAAAGGTGGTGCTACACGCTACTAGACAGTTATACCTAATTCAATTGCTCTTCAGTGTATAATCAACTGTACTAACTAAAATATATCATTGAGAAGAGCAGCTTGGAAAAAATGTGTTTGTATTGAAACAATATTGCAATTGAATCCAAGGTAGACATCATTTTGTTCATTAGATCATACTCTAATTGTGAAATTTTGTGATTTATTCTTTGCTCATATCATTAACCTCCATTTTTTGGTAATTGAAACCTTTGTCATACTTTCAATTTCCATTTTAACCAATAAAATCCTATAAAAATCGCCCATTTCTTATGTATTTTATCCTAAATTTAGTCACCTCTATCTAGTTTCTTGGAGATAATTTTGGCGCTATTGTTTTCCTTACTTAATTCTGTGTTGAATGAAGTGTATTTTATAGGTGATAAGAGTAGGATACCCAGTTGGTAGTATGTTTTCCTTTAATTGAATGAGATTTTTTAGAACAGTTTTTAATATGATGACAGGGCTAAATTATGTTTCCAGTCCAGCCTTGAACAAGTTAGAATTTTTCCTATTAATAGTAGCGAAAAAACTTCCAGATGTCCAAATTCCAGATATTTGAATCATTTTCAGGAATACATTAGATTTGAATAAGCGTCCAACTGTATATCCTATAAGAAAGTCAACTTAATAGATGTATTTTGTACTATATTTATAATGATATTTTAACGTTATTTAAAATATTATTATTGTGATTAATTTTTTTATTTATTTAAAACCTTGTTATTTTAATTTTAGGGAAGAGACTGGAACTTTCGAACACAAATACCAAACTGGGCAAAAAAAGATTGGATGGATAATTAAAATATTAAATATTAATATTGTTATTTTCTCATTTTTTAATTCAAATGTATAGAAAAAAATTTCTTATTAAGATTCTATTTTTATATATTTCCTTGATTTTTTTATTGCCATTTAAAAATACAGCAAAACACTACTAATTTAACATGCAGTTTAGACTAGTAGTTCACACAAAACCTGCATAATGGCACGAGGATTATTCAACTGTAATCAAGATGATATTCGGCACAAAGAACATTCAAACTAAACAAGTGAAAAGGTGGGAAGAACTATATATTACTAATTTGTATATCATTAATATATCATATTATTTTATTATTTTACATATATTATTTTATTAATATACTGGCAGTTATGGAAATATATTGGTACTCTGCAGGCTTAAAGCCTGCAACTTCTTAAGAAATGGGTGAGGCCTGCCGGAAACCTACGAAGTTCCCTTACGGTCGCATTCAGAAAATGTTGCTTATCACCAATATAGAGAATCATAGTTTTCCTTGCCATGGATAGTGTAACTATACTTGTGTTGGAGAAAGATGAATGTGACGTTATTTTTGCAAATAAGATGTTTGCCGATCGCTTAGAGCGCGCAAGTTGTAAACGCCATTTTTGTTCTCACTATGGTTAACTCAAAATTTAAGCGGGAAACAATAGTGAAGTGTTAGCTAATGTTAGAATAAGGGAAAGACTACGTTTTTGAGGGAGATATCAGTAGTACTTAAAGTTGCCATAAGCTCAAAACCAGAAATCGGACATTGTAAGTTAAATGGTATTGTGGTAAAAGTTAAGTAGCATTAGGTAGGCTTTAGGAAAATAAGCAAATAATTCTAAAACAACTAATTTTATTGAATTATCAATTATTGAACATTTACTACTTGTTTCACTTACATATTTCAGCTAAGTTTTTGTTGGCAAACTAGGTTGCCCCCATTGTTGGCGTGGCTTGGTGGATACGATTAAAAGTAAAGATAATTTTGATCCCACAAAGCGGAAGAGTAAAAAATAAATAAAACAAAAGTTAGACAGTGACCAGATATAACTATTGATCCATTATCGATGATTGCACGAAACCGTCGCACAGCACGTGCACCACAGATTACTAAAGACATACGCCTATACGACAAGTACAACCTACAATTTTATTGTTTTTACTACAGATGGAATATTTTTGGGATAAAGATGGATAAATCGGAACATTCCAGGAAAAATTTTCCGATCGGTAAGTATGGTTACTCTAGTGTTTTAAGTCACTTCTTCCACACAATAAAGTTAACAGTAAAAAAGCTTAAGAATTTATACGGTTTACGTTTCGATAGCGAGTAGACAGGGGTAATGTTTCAGGTTACACCGCAAATTTAGTTTAAAACACGATTCAATTGAAAGTTATACAAGATAAAAAATTAATCAATAGCATGCTGGAGTGATGGTCCATACTTAATGTGATCTCTTGTTTCTACTACTAGTTACTGCTTGTCACATGCCTTTAAACAAACTAAAGAAGGAAGAAATAGCCATCTCTTACTTATCAGAATAACACCAAAAGCTACACTGAGTGCCAGTACTATACAAATAAGTCTAGACTTTGTCAAAACTACACCTAGCAAGAATTCTGCGTTACTGAATACAGTCAGATTTCAGAACCACAAATCATTAAATATTTTTAGACCAGTATACTAGACATTTCAGTAACTATTTTTTTTTTTTGTATTAAAACTAATTTCATATACAGTGGTACCTCAGGATACGAAATTAATCCGTTCCGAAACTGAGATCGTATCATGAAAATGTCGTAAGGTGGATCATCTTTTCCCATACGATTACATGTAAAACCAAATAATTCGTTCCAACGCGAAAAACATACTCAAATTAAAGCCAAGTAATACATTA